ATCTAGGGAATGGTAATTAAAGTTGGACTTACGATTYAAAAACGCCGTAATAAATCCTAGCATAAATAATGTCCTAAAATAAAACATTCAGCTGTTAGAATAAAGAGATTTCAAGCGTCACAAACGAATTTGTCTTACTTTTCTAARAGAAGGATTTCTCTTCGCAGCTTCTTTACTCTCATTGCAAACCACACAAGGAGAATGATGCTGACCGGAGCAACAACACTCTTCATTGTGAACCACATTTGAGTAAAACCTCCATTTTGATGAATCTCCTGCAAAAAGCAAARATTTCGTTGCTACTTTTGTTGGGATTCCTGTCTATAATTTCATCGAAAGAAACTGGTGACTGGAAGCAATCCCGCGCTTCGGATCGTACTTACTACAAACTCAAGTCCAGAAACTTGGCCAATTCCTCTATTTTTGGATCTATATCCAGGCAATCGTACATTTACAAGGTAATAGTTGTAGAACACACTGCCGATCTCAAAGAATGGCAAGTCGTCGCAATTATAGTAACCTCCTTCACTTTTATCGCCCTGGAATAAGATAAGCTATTAACTTCATAAAAGTTGCATGATTCTCTGATTGTAATAAGAGCTTTTAATACTGTTTTGTTTTGCGTCTTTGAYTATTAAAACGTCACATTTCCCTTAGATATTGTTGAACTATGAATTAATTTTTCCTTTCCTTCTTCAACTCGTTTCTTATGCATCAACCTTTCCGTCATACATTAATCAGTCATCATTGAAGAATAGGCTTGAAATTATGTCATTTGAACAGACCCCACATTCAACTCAGGGATGTCAACCCCAGAGCTTTATATATCTGGAGAAATTGCCTCGATTATGTGTATGACGTCACACCATGTGAATGACGTCACAAATAACGTTGCATAATCAGTTTATATATTTTTCATGCGCGAGTATACGTAAGCAACGCCTGTAGGTATTTCGTTCCGTATCGAAAGTCGAGGAAACATGACATAATTCATTGAAGGTTTTCTTTGAAAATAAAAATCTACAACGATGGTTAGTAATTACTATCATTCTATGAAAATATCGTGCGTATCCGGGAGATTTAGGGCTAAAATCTTGAGACCGGGAGATTCGATCTGAAACCGGGAGTCTCCCGGCAAATCCGGAAGAGTTGACGTCCCTGCAACTATCCCAGTTATTATTTGAATTACTAGTTACTATTATTGTAATTCAAATCAATTTAATTATCCCAGTTCCAGTGCACTGAAAAACCTTCAAAACAAGCAAATATGATACCCTGGATTCACACCCAGCTAATATGATCAGATTCTTACCTTATAATGACAAACCAGCTCTCGCTCCTCAGTAGATTTAGCCAGCAGATTCCAATCTGCAGTTTCATTATTGTCCTTGTAGTAAAGCTTTGCTTCAAATGTCCAGATTGGGTAACCATCTTTGGTGGTTTCTGGCAGGAACAAAGAGTATTATACATAAACTCGTCTGGTATCTCAAAGACTATTGGTTGGATGTATAAAGGTATGGTGTGGGAGGGCCAGAGAGGTGGGGTAGGTGCTAAGGTCATATGTCATGGTATGTAAAATATAGTAAGGAACCACCTAGTAGGGGCAACCTATCTCATGTAAACAGTCAACTCTCTTTCCTTTCTCCCATAATCAAGCAGAAAATTAGCCTGTGTACATCCATAACCAACCCTCCCCCCTACTGGGAAAATTCGTCCCCAAATTCTCTCTGTATGGAGGAGGGGTTCGAACAGATGTACACAGGCTAGCAGAAAGTTTGAGCAACTTAGAAACAAGTCGAGACATGTTTGAATGGTTTTGATTGCCTGCCCTACTTATTTGACAGCTGATAACATCGGCATTATGTTAATTGTACATAAGATAATTACATCCAGTGGAACTCAACGCCAGTATAAAGCCATGAGAAGTCTGTACAGCACTCTTAGTCAAATTGAACAATAGCATTTTTGAAAGCGAACTTAAGCATTCACTTTTGTCAGCTTTTAGTGAAGGTAAAATGTTTCAAAGCCAGTAAGCATGCGAGGTGAACCCAATCTTTTATCCCAGTTAGTCCCCACTCCATCTCTATGGATACCCCAGTTAGTCCCCACTCCCTCTCTATGAATACCCAAGTTCTTACTGTAAGGATTATCTTTGTTGTATTCCAACTTCATTTGTACAGACAGTGCCAAAAATTGATGCCAACGAGACATCTCTAAACCACGATGTGGAAATTGAAAAGCAAACACTATGTCTTGAGGGTTAATAGATCTATCTTCCATTGCCTTTTGTAGATCCACTTTGGTACATGACCAGGGATCCAAAGGTGCTTCTGTGTTCTTGCCGTTACATACAGTTGCGATATGTGGCATGGCATTTGTAGGAGGAGGAGCTGTGGAAAGTGAATTAAGGTCGGTTATAATAAACATGATACAGAAATAAAGGAAAGTTATAGTGCTAGGAAAGAGGTTATTCTGGGAGAAAGACCCTTTGGAAATAAATCCGGAACAATGAATTTCCAACCTTGCTTGGGATTTGAACCCACGACCCTCGGATTTGTACTAGCAAGCTCCACCAGCTGAGCTGCAAGGTCAGACTCGAAGCAGGTCGGTGTGAAATAGATGTTAGGTTGCAGTAATTAGAATGTAAAGATATTTAATGTAAGGACCACATGGCACTATGAGATACATGATATAGTTATAATAAATTTAATCTTTAATTAATATATTTCCAAGGATCTTTCTCCTTGAATAAACTCCTTCCTGGCACTATAACTTTCCTTTATTTCATAGCTGATATAATWAACATCAAGTTCCATTTAATCACATGTACATGAAAGATGGCCTGGTTTAATTTGACTGAAATTTGGCAGATGGAGGCATTTCTGCACTGTACAATTTTTTCCCAATTTGTCACTTCAAGGAATTGAAAATTGCATGCTAGGAAAATCTTCACACTGTCACACTCTACAGTCCCTTAGCAACTTGACTTTGCAACAGTGTTTAGAACACTATAATCACTGTGCAATAAATTATGGCATATTAGTTTATGTGAAGAGTACAACATGATCTGAATAGCCATATAGTTGTTTCTGTTTGTATAACCATGATGGCAATCTAATTTGATGTACGGTACTGTTGCATATATTTTACATTGACAAAAATGAAATATAGTCACAACAAGCAATTAGTGAACGAATGCTGTCAAAGTTTTTAGTCAAACTGGAGGTTGGTGCCAAGGCACTTGTTTGAAACAAAGCTATTGCAAAGGACGTCATGAAATTTTATCTGGACTGCAGGTTGTAAACAATGGCAAATTTGAGAACTTTAAGAAATTGTCAAAATGACAGTACAAAATGATTTAATGACTATGTTGTAAAACTGCTATAACACTGATGAATAAAACATCAGTGGAAAAACAATGTCTATCACTTGACTTTTAGAAAACCCTCATTGGACTAATAGCTCATGACTTATTAATGAGTTTATATGCAAATCAGCCTTTGYCTGACAGCAGATTGTTACCAAAACATCAGACGATGTCTGCGCTCATGGTCTGAATAATTCTTGATTATTATTTTCTACTATCAAATAATTGATCAATGCATGTGAAAATTGCAATGAATTCTAATAAAGTATTATTGTACTTATCATATTCAATGTGTTAATTATTATCTAGAAATGTGTTTATTATCATCATCATTACTTAAGTATGTATTACTGTCATTGTTATCAATATCATTAAAAAATATTATTTTATTTGTTATTATATGAATTTTCATTATTGTCCTTACCACAATATTATTGTTRTTGTAAGCTAAAGAAGATAACAAATGATTACAATACAAACCAAGACAATTAACCACTTATATCTTAACACGCTATTGTCCTATAATCCCACAAATATAACATCTAAACATCGAAACGTTATTCTACTTCCTTGCAAAATGATTTCAAAGGAGACAAATTCCTCCATAATTTATTTCTAGTGGAAAACTAGATTAAGACACGCACATCAAAAGTTCCGAGGTCAAACCGGATATGAAACAAATCTAAACCATCAGGGCTCATCARACATCCGAGTTCGTGGCTTCAAAACAACGCTAATGACAAGAAGGATTTTTAAATCAAAATGAATTAGTTCTTATATCAGAGGAGTAATTTGGGCAGTAGTTTATGAGTTTAAAATAATAGCATTCGTATAATCACGACGAATATTTTAAGACCGGCATAAAAATATGGTTTAAATCATGACGATTGTTATTTTTTTGCGCATTGAACACGCGATGGATACCGGTGATTCAAGCTAAGTTACTTATGAATTCAGACAATTTAAGAACGAACGTAGTAGTTAGTTTTGGTAAAATTGACAGTGTTTAAGGCGCCAAGAATAAGTCTGAAGCCTTTGATCATGAAATCCCATAARCGACTATTAAAATGATAACACATGGAGGAGATSTTAGGAATCGGCTGAGTACTCCAATCCTTACTATGACAAGATTTTAAGAGGATACTTTGAYCAAAATCAAAAATATCGAAGCGGATTTGAATAYATGACAAAGAAGTAGCTCTGCCATTACAAAGGTGCGAAATATTTGAAGTAATATGCTCACCTTTCGTGCCTCCAATAAAGAAGAAAGTGCATAGGATAGCAACGGCGCAAACACCTAAAGCTAATAACTTCTTAACGCTGAGCGTTTCTAAGATGACAGCCATCGTTCCCTTGCCTTTTTAAGTGACTGTTGCTTGGAGATGAAAATCAGACGTTGCTTCGCTTTCGACGCAGTGAAATTAACTAACAGAGATCAATAAACCACACACACCGTGCTAAGATTATAGACCAGGCGCAATAACTTTCAATGAATCGTCCTCCAATCAGATTGTCTCGTTGTACGATTAATGAAGCCATTGAAACAATAGCCTACTGTGACCTTTTGCGGGGGAAGAATGATAATTGAGAGAGCCATTTTAGAGAGATTGAATTTCTGAAGTGGAAGCCGGATGAGAGAAATCTCGTAACGATACTATTGAAAGGTTAATTCATGACTCAAGTCCGGCTATAAGTGAAAATCAATTAAGTTAATTTATACATTGCGCGTGGCTTGAAATASCTACATCATGCTTGGCTGCCTAGCTGATTAATTCGATTCTCCTTAGTTATTTCTTTGCTAACTTTGCGCATGACTTAGAAACTACCCGCTTCCGATTCSTATGAAAGAAAAAAAGTATGTATTTTGTAGTAGCGTTGGTCGTCAGGAAGCCGGCGGGAAAGTGATTCCATTACTTAACAGTGACGAAAGAATTGCCCGTGCGCGTCACAGCTACGCCTATATTTTGCTCACGTAGAATTTGGTTTTTCGGTAGCGGATCCTCTKATATCGATCTTGAATACTAAACCGTTACGCAATTCAATCGTAAGCTAGAATAATGTAATAATTTAGAATAATTCGAAAAAGTAAAACACTTACTGTGACTGATATTTTGAAACGTCTGAAACCGGCTCCTAAAATTTCATTAAAAGTTGACAGATGTAACCCAAACTTTTTTATGTAATGTTTTTATAATTCGGTATACCAGAATTTTTAAACCTCCAACAGTAACGCCTGTTAGCAGGCTAGAATTTTACAGACTGACTCTGATTTCTCAGAAAGCTTGACAATGTTTTTGGAAGCTTTCAAGTGAAGATATCAGAATTATTTACTGCTACACACATTTATATAAATAGTGAACAAATAGTTTTCTTTCTGTCTCATTCTTTTCTTTCTTTTTTCATTTTTTTTCTATTCATCGCATTCGCATGTATCAGTTCCGCGTGTTTGCGTTTTCATCCGGTTTGCAGACTTTTGTTGTAGTGCGCTGATTTCCTGTACAGACGGCTCACAACATGGCTCCTTGTAGTTCGTAGCAACAAAGATAAAGAACTGTCAAAATGTTTTTTCGTGAAAATGTACCTTCTAATGCAGATAAATTCCAAATATTTATCGCAATTTTATTGTGCATTAATCGATAAAACATAGGTAGTTATCATTTCTTCGCTCAAGTCCGCGAAAAGACGAATTTAGCCATGGAATGGACGAGCCAAAACATCAAAATACACTTCAAATCCGCAACAACCACAAGAAACAGCTTCAAAACTGCAGAAATTGACACAAATTGTTAACCATTTCGAAAAAATATCATGGATAAGTGGAAGTGTGATGAATGCAATATGAAGTTTGACTYGAAATTTCTGTATGAGACTCACAAGAAAAAGTTTTGTGGAGTTCTAGGTGAACCCCCCGGACCCACACCAGCTAGAAGCCCTGGATCTTATGAAAATTTTGAAAAGTACAGGGGGAGGACGAGTCGGTCTCCTAAAGAGTCTGTAAGTACATATCAAACTAATGATTATTGCAAATTTGGAAAATTGAACTTTCAGAAAAAACAGATTTTTATTAGTAGTCCAAGTTTCTCTCATTTCCATTGATTTCAAAGAATACAACCCCCCACTATTAACATGTGCATTTAACATTTTTTTCACATTTCTGACTTTTTAGTTGCCACCACTTTCAGCAGAGAGCAGAGCATCTCATGACTCTCTAAGAAACTTTAAGACAACTGACAGCCGTCAATCATCTATGAGTGAGCTTGAAAAAGAGAAGGTATTTTCTTTTATAGTTGGCATGCATATTGTGTGGCAGAAAGTAGGCACTGGTTCCAAGAAGGCTGAATAAATAGAGGATATATTACATGGGTGCGTGGAGATATGAATTTTATCTTCGAGTGTTGAAAAAAGATGGGATTTACAATAATAACAAGAAGATCTGTCATCCCGACATTCAACAACAGAGTTGATGAGTGTGGTCTACTGCTTTGCAAACAACACTGTCTTATAATCATGTTACAGTGTGTACTAATATTAGATCGATCGTATACAATGTATTATACAGCTAACCTTCTAATAATACCTTCCACAACCATTTGCAAATTAAAAGTACTTTTTGTCCTCTATAGACAACCTCCATTCTTGATACTTTAAATTATAATGCATATTAACAGACACGTCTCATAAGGAGAAAAACAAAACATCACAAATACGTTATATGCTAATGTAGTCAGCACAATCTTTAAGTACAGTACTGTATATCAATGCAGGTTGAACAGCTAAAAGCCTTAAAAGAAAGCAAATCCTTGCAGAGGARCTTACAGCACTTGGGTGTCAAGTCATCTGTCCCTATTCATAAGGTACAATTCTGTACTAGTGGATCTTGTAAGCTAAGAGATTAGCTCRCAGCTATCAGCCAATCAGAAAGAAGCATGTGGTGTGATATTCTTTAAAATATACTACATGTATGGCAAACATAATGTGTTGTTGCCTTTGCGAAATATGGAGTATGCTTTCTATAGGATCGCATATCTTTACATATTGATCAACTAGTCATTTCTACCCCTTTACATTTCTACGCCGATACAAACTGGTTGTCTTAAAATTAATGTAACAGATGCAGGTCATTGCCAAACAAGAGGTGACACTTAATCGGGGGAATCAAAGATATGGGAGAAGAGTGTATGTGCCTCTAAATATGCACTTTTGGCTAATTTGTGACAACAGTTTTTTGTCCAGGATAATTATATTACATACATTGCTTTTGCTCTAACCATAGTTAAACACTTTATTAAAAAAACACATTTTCCAATTGTTTATGTGACTACATGGATATGTGCAAATGTAGGTGCCAAGTAGGCTATCAAGGCCTTCAAGCTATGATCTTATGGACAGACCACTACTTAATGACCAGATGCAACAGCTCCAAATCAATCACAAAGAACAACTTGAACAGCTGAAAGCTCACAATGAGAGATTACAACAGGAAAAAATAGGTATTTGAACTAGCATGTGAATACTGTAGTTGTTACATTTTTATAAAAGTTGATGCTAGGGTGTATTTTGAGTGCACACACACTTCGAAAAAGAAATATGTGAAAAAGCATTAAMCAAATAGTACCAAATAGTGCAATTTAGTGGACTTTCATGCAACGTTTCACCTTTTTGCAGCAACGATATTATTGTGCATATTTTTTTGTATTATAATATATCTTTTGAATTTTCAATTATTATTGATTCTTCTCCAAGAAATTCAAGAAAGAATGAATTCTCTTGGATTGAAGAGTAGACAAAAGCTTGTATCACAGGGAAGTATGGTGAGTTTGTATCAATATATTATAATAGACTGTTTTCGATACACTGGATGAAAAGTCATACACACAAAAAAAGTCCTGTTTTGTATCATGGTAAAAATATTGTCATGGACTATTGTTATAACACAAAAAAAAAACAACAACAACAACAACAAAATTTTTAATAAACATTACACATTAAGTTACAATTTAAGTGAATAGCAAATGAAGTTGAATAAATAGGAATATAATATAAGGTTTTCTTAATGTTGTGCCTAAAGGCTAAGTAAACTGGTAAGTTTTCTAGTTAGCCTTTAGTAATATAGTTAAAGTTTACGTTTCTGTAGAAATGAAAAAGAGTATTGTAGTAGGAAATAGATAAAGAATAAGTACGTACTGGTAGAAGTATTGTAAGTATAAAGTTGAATTAAGAATCAATTATTTGGTGGGAAAGTAGATGGCATTTAGCCTGTTTTGAAAACGATTTAGTGTTGCTAATTAATCTAGTAGTCTGGGGAAGTTTTTCCCATATCTTTTCCGCAACAAAAGATATAGATTGTTTACCTAAGTTTGTTTTAGAAGCAGGTATACATAGATTTAATTTGGAGGAGTATCTGGTGTTGTAGTTATGGCGTTTATTGGAAATCTTTCCCATCTCACATTCAGCATTGATTCTCTCCCACACTGTTGCTAAAAATTTGCAAAGCATCTTAAATTTACTTAATATTACAGGATAAACAAGTTGATGAACTTGATGGATTAAAAAGATTCCTAGATTACAAATCTAAAGAAATAAGGTATAGTAATCATTTGATGTCCACTACGTTTTGCTGATTCCAACTAATAATGATATCTAGACTCCCCTGGAGACATATTTCTGTCCCATCTTATTGATGGATCCCTTCACTGGCAACTCATATGGGAGGGGGTAAGGAAAGAATTGTTCCTAATGATCTCTTGCCACCATTTTCTCGCGGTCAAGATCATCAATATTATAATATAAAGGAAGACAAAAAGCTAAAAAATTAAGCTGAAAAGTAGGCTGCAAAGGAGACTAGTCAAAAGTGTCGCCTGCAAAGTAGGCTCTATGACATCATTGTTTCATTCATCCATCCATAGTAATGATTACAAGATGGAGATGAAGAAACTTAGTGAATTGAAGAAGAAGACTTATAAAAATGCCTCTAATGTTGTACTTCAGCCATCRCCCTCCCCAATATCAAGGTATAATGACTATATCATGATACATATACCAGATAGTGGCTGATTGGATAGGAATTATTGATAATCATTAAATAGTGCTTATTATAGTGATTCAACATTTCCTTTTTTTCACCACAGATATAATTCACCAGCTGGTCAAGAAATAAGAAGTAGGTTCTCTTTATAATTTTAATTAATAATATTTGTCTTCCCCCCTCCCCCCAAATTGTTTTTTTTTTCTGTTTTTGTTTTTTGTTTTTGGTAATGAATGCTAATTCTGGCATTTGGTGTATTTGTTCTTTCAGCTAGAAGTCTAGAAGTGTCAAAAGCAGTGTTAGTTTTTTATTTAATCAGTATTTCATTTTTTCAT